CGCGCTGCGCCCCGAGACGGCCCTCGGCCTCCTCCCTCAGTGGCCCGGCGCCCCTCTGCAGCAGCCCCACCCCTCCCTGTCCGTCACGGGCCGCCTGGCCCTCGGGTGACTCCGGGTCCGGGTTGTCGCCCACGCCCCGCCTACTCCCCGCGGGCCGCTCTGGGTGACTCCCTTGTCCCTCTCCACTGGGAGCCCCCTTTCCATCACTGCCTCTCTTCTCCCTCGCCTCTCTGGGAAGAGCCCCTTCCGGGTGACAGCCGGTCTACGCAATTGTTTATCAATTGCGGATTGACGGAGCGCATTCAGCAGCAGCCCTACCCCGGAGGAACTCACCGTCTAGCGCTAGACGGTGATCAACAGATGTGTCCAGCCCGGTGAGAGGGTGAGGAGGCCCCTGTTAACGCGGAGGTCACCCTGGTTGATCAGTGGCTCCGGGACACTCTGGACTCAGCCAGGACTCCACTGCCAGCCCTTCTCACCCCATAAAGGCTGTTTGACCAGGCCCGAGGTGTTAAAACGTAAATGACATCGAGAGGGGCCGGTCTTCCTGGCTGACACAGAAGGTGATGGGTTCCCTGATGCTAGGCATGGAGACTGTATTTCTTCTTCCTTTAAAAAAAAGAGAAAAGGCCGGGCCGGCGGTGGCGCAGAGCTTGAGGTCAGCCTGGTCTGTAGAGCGAGATCCAGGACAGCACCAAAACTACACAGAGATCCCCTGTCTCGAACCCCCCTCCCCCCAAAAAAGTGTTTTGTTTTGTTTTGTTTGTTGTTGTTATTTTTTTATATGTATAGGTATTTTGTCTGCACGTGTGTATGTGCACCACGTTCGTGCCTGGTGTTCACATAAGCCAGAAAAGGGTGTCAGATGTGTGCTGGGAATCAATCCTGGGTCCTCTGGAAGGGCAGCAAGTACTCTTAGCCGCTGGGCCATGGCTCCCTCCCTTCGAGGATGTATGTTTAACCAGCACGATCATGGATCCTGACAGTCTGGTTCCTCCAAGACCTTTTTCCTTTTGGGGTAGGGACCTGAGTGGTAGGCCGCCACTTGATCACTAAGCGCTTGCCATCTCTGGGATGGGATTCTTAAAGTAATTAGAGCCATAACAAGAGAGCCTTCCAGCCAAGCAGCTTAATTTAAGTCCCTAACCTCACTTGGCTAACCAAGTGATTTGATCTAGCCAACACTCTCAGATAGGTGTGGCAAATTTTGATACATGTGTTTCCCCCAATGGACTCTTTCTTTCGCTTTCATTTTTTTTGCTCTCAATTATAACATTGTAGCAACCTGATGCTCCCCTCTGCCCCAACAGGCACACAGTTACTGACACCATGGTACACTGTACTGTACGTGAGTCATTTCAACTACTATCTAAAGCACCGGTTATGATAACAGCATTTATGCCAGACACCAGTCTTAAATCCTTCAGCTTTTTGTAGGCCAGTGAAGAATTTCAATACCACAAATTCCTGATGCTAGGTGCTCTTCATAATTCAAAATATCCCAGATTTAGGGCCTGGGGCTATATTAATAACTCTGTTGGTTAGCATTTACCTAACATGAATGATGCCTGAGCTTGATACCCAGCACTCCATAAACTGAGTGTAGAGTACACGCCTGTGATCTTAGCACTCTGGAGACAGTGGTAGGGGCTCACGGTTGTCCTTGGCTGCACAGCAAGTTCGAAAACAGCCTAAACTAGGGACCCTGTCTCAAAAAACAAACAAAAATAAACCTCAGATTTAGAAAGGTAATATTGTCTCATATTTAGAAAGTACAGATGTAGGGGTGAGGACGTAGCTGTGGTAGAATGCTAGGCTGACATGTTAGGCCTTTGGCTTAATCCCTAATACCATAAATGTAATAATAGCTTTTTAAAAGGCATAGTAAGAAAGCATATATGTGTAAGACCACTAGTGAGTCTGCAGCATCCATTCCAAGATCAAACGCTAATATTTTTGTCAATGAATGTCAGCTGTGGTGATTCATGTCTGTAATTCTAGCACTTGGAAGTCTGAGGCAGGAGGATTGCTACAAGTTCAAGGTCAGTCTGGACTTCATAGACTTTTCTCAAAACAAAATAAAATTATAAATATACACACTGATGGGGCTGGAGAGATGGCTCAGCGGTTAAGAACACTGGTGATTCTTCCAGAGGTTCTGAGTTCAATTTTCAGCAACCACACAGTGGCTCACAGCCATCTGTAATGAGATCTGGTGCCCTCTTCTGACCTGCAGGCATACATGCAGGCAGAACACTGTATACATAATAAATCTTTTTAAAAAAAAGTGTATATATATATATATATATATATATATATATATATATACATACTGAGAATAGATGAAGTCAATTTTTTTCTTAAATTACTTTTTCATGGTTACCCAGTTGTCTCTATTATTTGTTGAAAAGACTTCTTTCCTATTGGGTTGTTTGGCACTCTTTTTGAAAATAAATAATTCCAGCTCTCTGGATACTGAGGCAGGAGTCTGTTCAAAGGTAGCTTGGACTACATAATAAGTCCCTGTCTTGGAAAAAACAAGACAAAGGGGAAAAAATTTTTTTTGAGACAGGGTCACTCTTATGTCTGTCCTGGAACTTGGTATGTAGACCAGGCTGGCCTCAAACTCACAGAGATCTTCCTTCCTTAGTGTCCTGAGTGCTGGGGTTAAAGGTGTGCACCACTATGCCCAGCTTCAAAAAAAGAATGAGCAAGCCATAAATTTCAAAACCCTTAGTTCTGTCTCCTTCATCTGTTTGTGAATAAGCTGTTTCAATTACTATGGATTTAAAGACTTTAAAAATCTGGAAGTATAACTCTTCTAAGTTTAGTCTTATATGAGAGTTTGACTTGGGGGTGGGGTCTGAACATCCACATGAATTATAGAATCAGCTCTTTCCAGGCTGTCCTCTGAACTCACAGAGATCTGCCTGACTCTGCCTCCTGGGGTGCTAGGATTAAAGGCGTGCACCACTACCACCTAGCATGCTCATTGTTAAGGAAGCCAGATGGGTTTCTGACAGGGATTGTACTGAATCTGCAGACGAATTTGGAGATGTTGGACAGGGGTTTGCTCTCTGTGCTAGAGAAAGGCTGAGCTGAAGGTCTCTGAAGGTATAGTGCTTTAGGCAAACACTGTACCATGAACTATACCCAGTCTACAACTTTAAGACCATTGCCATGAACATGTTTTCCTTTTTATTTAGGTCTTTAGTTGTTTGTATATGCATGTGTTCAGGGGCCTCTGCAACCACCAGGACCTGCAAAGGGTTAATCTGTGTGAGACAAGAGGGGAATCCCATTCAACACAACTCAGTAGCTGGTGTTGGTTCAAACTTCTAAAGTCCGACACTGGGCAGTTTACTGTAGGCATATTTAAGTATGGTACAATTTGGGGAAATGTTTCCTGCTGTAACACAATCCCCTGTGCACAAGCATAATTAGATCAAAACTCTTCTCAGTTCTGTTGATAGTCTACTTGTGTTATCTTAAGGCCTAGAGGAGGACCTGGTCTCCGTCATACAGATAGTGTAGAGGTCATCTGGGCTATTAGCCACCTCTGGTCCTGCTCATGGGAGCTTGGGGGAGCCAGGTATGGCCTATCTGTATAGATAGCATGGGGTTACCTAGGCTATTAGCCACCTCCATTCCCAGCCTTTTGGGCAGAGGAGGTTAATATATCTTTTTTCTTTGAAAGGACAGCCCTGTGTATTTAACATTCCTGGTTTTCCTAGTGCTATTTATGGGTACTAAGGGTGCTCCTAAAACATGTGTCTGTTTTGGTTTTGGTAGAGGGATCAAAGCCTAGCACATGCCAGGGAGGTACTCTACCATCAGTTGAGCTATACTTCTTTCTCTTTCTCTCTCTCTCTCTCTCTCTCTCTCTCTCTCTCTCTCTCTCTCTCTCTCTCTCCTTTTTTTTTTTTAAAGGTTTATTTATTATGCATACAGTGTTCTGCTTATATGTACACCTACATGCCAGAAGAGGGCACCAGATCTCACTACAGATGTTTGTGAGCCACCATGTGGTTGCTGGGAATTGAACTCAGGACCTCTGGAAGATCAGTCAGTGCTCTTAACCTCTGAGCCATCTCTCCAGCCCTCTTTTTCTTTTCTTGAGACAGGATCTCACTATATATGTAGCCCTGGCTGGCCTGGATCTCTCTCTCTGTGTAGACTAGGTTGGTCTCAAACTCATAGAGATCCTCTGTCTCCTGAGTGCTGGGATTAAAGGCGTACACCATCATGCCCAGCGTTTCTTCCTAGTTTTTTAAAAATAACTTTTGATATTATGTGTATGGGCTTATTTATTTTATGTGTATGGCTTTGCCTGAATGTATGTCTATGTTCTACATGTGGGCAGTGCCCATGGAGGCCAAAAGAGGGTGTCAGATTCCCCTGGAAGTGGAGTTACAGGCAGCCATGTGGGTCCTGGGAATTAAACTTAGGTCCTCTGGAAGAGCTGTCAATCACTTAAGAGCTAAACTATCTCTCTAACCCCTTCTTTGTTTTGAGACAAGATCTGAATATGTGGCCCAGGCTGACCTCAGTTTTGTGAACCTCTTGCCTCAGTCTCCCTAGGCTAGAATTACCGGGATATAGTACCATGCCCAACCCCAACAACTAAGGCATAAAGTTTTCATTCACTAAAAATATTTACTGTTGTGGGGTGGAGTGTGCCGTGACGTGTATGTGGTGGTCAGAGAACAACTTTGTGGGATTGTTCTCGCCTTCCGCCTTTATGTAGGTTCTGGGTCTTGAACTGAGGTTGTCAGGCTTGAAAGGCAGGCACTTTACCTGCTGAGTCATCTTTAAGCCCCCCCCCCTTTTTTGAGCAAGGGTCTCATGTAGCTCATGCTGGCCTTGAATTCTATATGTAGCCAAGGATAGCCTTTGGACTCCTTATTCTCTTGCCTCTGCCTCCCAAGTGCTGTGATTATAGGTGACAGTCATTGTGCCAGCCCCGCACCTTATGACAGCATTTTCAGGTATGAACTGCACCCTGTTTCCCAATCAAGTTTTCCTGGGGGCAGCCTTAGGGCTCTATTTTACAGCCCGCCTCTACCCCTGGGCAGTCTCTCCTAGCTGTGCTGTGGACAGTGGTGCACTTCCCCTGCCTGGCCCTGCTGCCTAAGGAGCAGCGTGCTGAGACAGGACAGAGGTCTCTGAGATTCTCTGTTTGCCTCTTCCAGTGTGGAGCTCCCTTCCTGTGAATGAACTGGGGCTGGGACCATGGACTTCTCAGCCTGCTGGGCCTGACGTAGAACCTCAGAAAGCCCCTGGTTAGTCTATTACTCAACAGAATCCAGCCTCTGCCCTGTGGAGTTGGTGGGAGACTGAGTAATGCTGAGGACCTGCTCTTCCAGGGCGGACACTTTAACTTTGACAGGGAGATGAAGCTCTGCAGGGAGCTGAGGCGGCAGGAGCCCCCTCTGGACATGCGCCCACAGTGCCGGAGACTTGCAGGGCTACTCGGGCTCCACGCTGGTACCAAGATTTGCTAGATTTTCTTCTGTAACTATTTCATTTTCTCTGTCTTAGTATCACTTCCGGAGACTAAGATAGTTGTGTAAGTTTTCATCTAGTCTATCTGTGTCTGGGGAAAGTCCACAGGTCTCCTCATTTTATATACATATTCTAGAAGAGAGTCAAGTTTTGGAACTCACAAGTTTTTACTGTGGAACTGGTAATGAGGGATGGCATGATTTCCCCATCTCAGGACCTTGGGAGAGTGCAGAGAAGACTGAATGGGCAACTCTAGAGCTGCCTGGCTTATAATTCCTCTGCTGGATATGAGGCCCTCGGAGATAAAGGCTTATGGTCCTGACATCATATTTATGTCAGCTCCAAGCTAGAGATGGCACAGTGTGTAGGTGTGTGATGGTCTGTTCTCCTTCTCTGCAGGTACTTGTGGCCCACACAACCTTCATGTGGAAAGTAGAACGTGTGTGTGGCAAAGGAGTGGCTGTCTTGTGGGCCACAGAATCAAGCATTGTTTGAGTGGACGGACACATAGCTCTGTGCTCTGATCCTCTAGCATTGGTCATGTCCATGCCCACTGAGGGCACCCCACCGCCCCTAAGTGGTACCCCCATCCCAGTTCCAGCCTACTTCCGACATGCAGAGCCTGGTTTCTCCCTCAAAAGGCCCGGGGGCCTCAGCCGGAGCCTTCCACCGCGGCCCCCTGCCAAGGGCAGCATCCCCGTCAGCCGCCTCTTCCCTCCTCGGACTCCAGGCTGGCACCAGCCCCAGCCCCGGAGGGTGTCATTCCTGGGTGACACCTCAGAGACCCTGCAGAGTCCTGGATATGATCCAAGCCGGCCAGAGTCCTTCTTTCAGCAGAACTTCCAGAGGCTTAGCCGCCTAGGTCATGGCTCCTACGGAGAGGTCTTCAAGGTAAATGAAGGGTGGTTTCCTAGGCTCCTCTGGGGAACCTCTTTGTCTTGGTGGGATAGTGTCCTAGGTATCCTCCTGCCCTTTAGTTTTTGACAGCTTGCCTCTCTAGGGCTTGCAGCCACCTCCCCACCCCCACCTCCCACTCCCCACCCCCAGGTCAAGCACCTCGATCGCATGCCTCACACACACTGGCACCTTGTTCAGATCCTGGCACAGCCTGCAGCAGATCTCTGTTGCCACTCCTCTGCTTGGAGATGGCTGTGCTGAGATCCATGACTGCTTCTGTCTGGCCTGGAACTGACCCCAATGCCTGTCTTTTCCCCTAGCTTAGCAGACTCAAAAGCTGTACCCCTTCCCATCATAATTTTGTTTTTTTTAATATGGCATTAACTTTTCAATCATTTATATGTCTTCTAAACAGTAGCTTTCCTTTACACAAACACTATTTGAAAGCAATTTTATTTAAAATACAAACAGCACAGGCTCTTGGATCATCTCTCCTCTCTGGAGGAAAGCTTGGGCACAGCGGAGCATACTGCCCCTGTTGTTGGGGACTAAATCTTTCTCTTAGCACTGGGCCCTGGTCAGAGGACATAGTCTGCCCCATCTCCGTTGCTGGGTCTCCAGTGCATTCTCCTGCAGTGGACATGTGTCCAGTTCATTATCATTGCATTCAGAAGACTGACATGTATTCCCCTGCATGGTGAAATCTTAACAACCAGCATTCTCTGATTGTCTCCCATCCTGCCTCTGGGCAACACCTCCCTTCCAGGTGCGCTCCAAGGAAGATGGCCGACTCTATGCTGTTAAGCGCTCCATGTCACCATTCCGAGGCCCCAAAGACCGGACTCGCAAGCTGGCTGAGGTAGGCGGCCACGAGAAGGTGGGGCAGCACCCACACTGCGTGAGACTGGAGCAGGCCTGGGAGGAGGGCGGCATCCTATACCTGCAGACAGAGCTCTGTGGGCCCAGCCTGCAGCAACACTGTGAAGCCTGGGGGGCCAGCCTGCCCGAGGCCCAGGTCTGGGGCTACTTGCGGGACACTCTTCTGGCTCTGGACCACCTACATAGTCAAGGCCTAGTTCACCTTGATGTCAAGCCTGCCAACATCTTCTTGGGGCCCCGGGGCCGCTGCAAGCTGGGTGACTTTGGACTCCTGGTGGATCTGGGTTCAACTGGCGCTGGTGAGGCTCAGGAGGGCGACCCTCGCTACATGGCCCCAGAACTGCTGCAGGGCTCCTACGGGACAGCCGCAGACGTGTTCAGGTGAGGCGGGGATGTGGAGAGGTCGTGACGGGCTGTAAGAGGCTCTTATTGGGGACTGATCAGCAGAAAGGGAGGGACCGCCCAAGGAAGAGCTCTTTCCTGGTACTAGGGGAGGAGGGCTTTCAGGCCTGGAAGGTGTTGCCCTGCCCACTAGCTGAGGGGTCTCCAGAGTAAGCAGCAAACTCTCTAGAGGCCCCCTTACGCTGTAGGCTAGCCATCTCCTTGACTAGCAGCTCTCTGGTTAGGCTCCATCACAGGGAGAGTAGGGTGCAATGAGGTTGAGGAACTTGTCAAGTCCACAGTTAGCATCTGGAACTATATGCAGGCCCAGGCTTCTGAGTCCACACTGGCTCCTACTGCCTTGCCTCGGTTGTATTCTTGTTATTCCCACAGAATGATGATGCCAACCCTAATCATCATGAAAGTAATTTACATGCCAGTGAGGTTCTGACGGACCTCCACTGCCACATGCTTAAGTGGGGGTCTCTGCTTCACAGGGAGGCCTCCATCTTGGTGCTCACCAGCCTCCTCAAAGCTCCTTGCTCCTCTCCCACCAACTTCATGGTTTATGGGGGAAGAGAGCAGCCCTTTCCTACCAAGATGCTGCCTAGGACTGACTGGGATCTGTGTCACAAAGTGGACTTTGCCTCTCTTTTTCTTCGTGCCCTGTCCTTCCTAGTCTGGGTCTCACCATCTTGGAAGTGGCCTGCAACATGGAGCTGCCGCATGGTGGGGAGGGCTGGCAGCAGCTGCGCCAGGGATACTTGCCCCCCGAGTTCACTGCTGGTGAGTGGGGTCTCAGGAGAGGCAGCTGCTCTCAGCTTCTATGGTAAGGGTGGCCAGTAGCAGGGGCACCACTGAGCTGAGGGCCCAGCCAATAAATACCCTGCTCCTGACGTGCATGACTGCCTCATGGGCAGGTCTGTCTTCTGAGCTGCGTTCTGTCCTCACAATGATGTTGGAGCCTGACCCCCAGCTTCGAGCCACAGCTAAGGCCCTGCTGGCCCTGCCCATGCTGAGGCAGCCACGTCCCTGGAATGTTCTGTGGTATATGGCTGCAGAAGCTCTGAGTCGAGGTTGGGCCCTGTGGCAGGTAAGCCTCTGTGGTGGTGGTGGTCTACTCCAACTGTTCCTTGCCCAGGGGACCTACCTAGTCTGAATTTACTATATAGACAGGGTTGTGCTTGTTCTCATATCTTCCTACCTCAGCCTCCAAGTGCTGTGATTTTTGTCACAGGCTTGAATTCTGAGGCCCCCTTTCCCCTCAGGCACTGATCACTCTGCTGTGCTGGCTCTGGCATGGTCTGGCTCATCCTGCCAGCTGGCTGCAGCCTCCGGGCCCACCAGCCACGCCGCCTGGCTCTCCACCTTGCAGCCCCCTCCTGGACAGCAGCCTCTCCAGCAGCTGGGACGACGACAGCATAGGGTGGGTGAGAGTCTAGGACGTGTGTGTGTGTGTGTGTGTGTGCATCACTGGTCAGGGACAGCATAGGGTGGGTGAGAGTCTAGGGTGTGTGTGTGTGTGTATCACGTGGTCAGTGCCACATGGTAGGCGTCAGGCCCCAAGGAGAGGAGGATAGATGGGCCTCTGTCACACCCAGGGGACGAGGACTGGCTGTGTGGATGTGGCTCATGGTCTGTGTGGGCAATTATGACGTCCCGCACAGCTTTGCCAGTCATTAGTGCAGGATTATAGCCCCCACCTCTGTAGAGGTTGTCCCTATTCAGGGACAAAGTGCTGTTCTTCCCTGGGTGGGTAAGTCCCTGTCCTGAGAGGATTCCCTTTGTCCCAGGTGTCTGCTAGCCAAGGGAAAGTGTAATTAAGAAATTGCTCCACGAAAGAACCACACTCTCTCAGGATCCCTCCCTTTAAGTAGGATTTCCCTCACTTTGAAGGGTCTCTGTAACAGCAAAATGCTAGAAAAGCCTCATTTACCAAAACTTGACTTCCAGCTCAGATGAATCTGAAGAGGGACAGAGATGCCCCTGACATGGTCAGACAGGAAGACTTGAGTTATCACTGTGTGTTTATTGTTTTAGTCATGGCCTACCTTCACCAAGCAGGGGCCTGCAACCAAGCAGGATCAGAGCTGGTTTGGTCCTAACCCTTCTCACCCCTCAACACCCTGTTTGTCCTGTCCTCTCTCTGTAGTCCCTCGCTCTCCCCAGAGACCATCTTGTCCCGGATCACTAGGAGAACCTCTACCCCTCGAGGCAGGTACACACCAAGGTGAGGAGGTGAGCAAGCCCAGGACCTCGGGCTGCTGGGCACAGTCGGCTTTGGGATCCAGAGTCTCGTTCCTTTTTCTTTCCTCCCCAAGGGATGCCCTGGACCTAACTGACATGGACTCGGAGCCTCCTAGAGGTCCCTGCCCTACCTTTGAGCCACGGAACCTCCTCAGCCTATTTGAGGACTCACTAGACCCAGCCTGAGCCATAGGCCCAGTCTTGGTGCTTTTAAACCTCTGACCCTCTTCCTACCTCTCCCCTGGAAACTTCTGTATCTAATAAAAAGTAATGAATCTTGGGAGCACCCAAGGTTGCTCATGTGGCAACATAGCGCTTCTTGTCCCTTTATTGATATTGCCTAAGGTCTTAGGCCTCTGGGATGATCTGGCCATGAGGCCATACTCTGCTAGAGTGTGGCCTTTGGCCAGCAGGCTGAAGCCACACACTGTATAGAGATTTCCTGAGCAGACATGTCTCTGATGGGCAGATCAATCAGACAGACCATGGCACTGAAGGTGAGTCCTTGGTCCAGAGGAGCCTGAATCCAAAGCCACCATTCCACCTCTGTGCCTGTTGCTTAGGGAGAGCAGCAGCTCCTCTCATGTCTCTTGGCCAGATGATACAAGCAGGACCAGTGCCCACTTGGTCCTGAGAGAAGGGCCTGGTCCCACTGCCATGAGTCCTGACTTCAGGAATGACAGGAACGGTAGAATTCTGGCTACTGAGAGGTTTGGCATGCAGGGCAGAAAGATGGAGGTCAGGAAGCGGGGCAGAGACTAGTTCAAGAATCCAGGAGGTGTCTTCTGGGCTGGAGGCTTGGTACGTTGGCAGGACTCAACTCTCAGACATGAATTCAGAGACTCTCACAGGTCAAACAGGGTAAATTGAAGCTCAAAGAATGATTTCCTTCTAGCTGACAGTACCCTGGAGGGAGGTTGGCAGGGAGAGGGGTAGCTGGAATTTGAAGGCCTGAGTGCAAGAAGTAGTTAATCCACAGGGAAGAATGAAGAGCGGTCTCCCAGACAGGAAGTCCCATGTGCTGGTTCTTCCAGGGAACCAGCCCCTTGCAGACCAGCAAAGGAGGGAAGGTGGTGTTATTTGTCTCAGGAAGCTGTGGGCAGGCTGGTTTGGCAGCTAGGAGACAGCTCAGTCTGGGGGACAGGAGTGGCGAGCAGCCCAGAGCAGGTCAGGTACAACACCAGCATGTAGCTGGAGAATGGAACCTACGCTGAGTAGGTGCATGATCTGGTGGGAGTTGCCCCAGTAGTCAAAGCGGCCAGGCCCCCAACGCTCTGGCAGACGTGCCACATTCACCAGCCCTCCAAGCAGTGCCAATGCATCCATGCGCAGGTAGCAGGGCAGGGAGCCTGGAGCCCCTGAGCCCAGCCCTACTCCACGGGCCCCAAACACCAGCAGGCGGGCCCCAGCTTGCCAACCAAAGGCTCGAAGCCGGGCACTGGTGGAGGGGGCAGTGAGGGCTCTCCAGCCAGCCACACCTGACAGTGCAGTGTAACCCATCAGGGCAGCTGGACGAAGCCAGGGTCTGCAAGCCAGAGTGCAGTGGATGATGGGCAGGGCTCCTGCAGAGAGAGAGAGAGAGCAGAGAAAAAAAAGATCAGTCCAAGTTAGCTGGTTCTCCTACCCAGGGTTCCTACCAGTAGCCCTTGCCTCCACCTTCCTGGGGCCTTGGCTCACCAAGAGTGTTGACAAGGCAGACTCCACACATATCCAGGGCAAGGAGCCGGGTGTACACAGGACTGCCTCCTTGGTGGCACATGAAGAGGTGATAGAGCACAGAAGCCGCGGGGGGCGCCAGGCAGGCCACACAGTGTGTACCTCCCAGCCAGCCATCCTTGCCCAGCTGACCCCAGGGCATGGTCATTGGCACCAGCACCAGGAAGCCCAGCAGGGCTAGCCCTAGAAGGGAAGGAGAGTTACCCATCAGACACACTCAGCATAAAGGAACACATCCAAAAGGTATCAACTGGAGCCAGGAAGATAGCTCAGAGGAAAGGCTGCTAAGCCCGATGGTCAGTTTGATCCTGGATTCCACATGGTCGAAGAGAATCAATTCTCACTTCCACATGCCTTGGCAAATGTACACCCACCCACTCACACATGCACTAAGTTAATACATAAATATAAAAAAACTTAAAGTGACCTGACTATCAAAAACACAAGAAAGATAGAGCAGGCAGAGTTAGTTCAGTGTTGCTGGCAGCCCCCACACAAGCGGGTCTGTGGGTCTCAAACTTGCACAAGTGTTACTGTCAGGGATCACTGCAGGTCTAGAAGTAGAGACAATGAGCCACTTTGCAGGCGTGGAAACAGGCTTGGAGTTCGCCTGTCCCAGCAGAGCCCAGCAGCTAGGCAAAGGATAGAGGATGGTCAACCAGGACAGACTAACTCCTGAGCTATCCTGGCTGATGCTAAAGCCACAGCTCCTCTTTGCCACACAGGAGGCCAGACCAGGTCTGCCTGTCTGTCCTGGAGTGTCTGCAGAAGCCTGGAGAAGCATGACCTCAGCCTGAGTTCTGATTAGGACAGGAGGGACATACTAGACTCAGGGTTACTTAACATTATCAAATGTTGGCTTTGGGTCTTTTTGTTTTCCATAAAGGAAGAAGGCCAGGAAAGGGCAGAACGAAAAGAAGGGACTGAAAGAAGCTTATCCTATCTCCACTGGGGTGTTTTCAGGAGCTCTGTTCCTTCCGGTGCTGCCCTTTCTTGGAGATTCCCATCCTTCCCCACGGGCAGTTGAAATTGCTCTAACAGAGGACAAATGCAGGCATCAGCCCCACTCTTGATGGGGGTCTGACAAAACAATAGCCTTCTCCTTCTCCTTTAGAGAAAAGCACAGGTCTAACCCTAGCTGGCCCTGGTCCCCTCTCCCAGCTGGGGCAGCTCAAGGACAGGCCAGGGCTGTGTCAGCAGAGCTCTAGGGGCCGCAAGAGGGGGCGGGGACGGGCCACCAGGCGGAGCCCCACGGTACTGCTGTGGTGGTGGGGACACTAGGCTAACCACGAGGAGGGGCTTGGGCAAGGCAGGGGCGGTCTTCTTCTTTCTGACTCCTCCTAGCCAGTGAACGCCCATCTCCAGGACGAGCGCCGGAGGGGGAGGGTGCCCAGGGCGCAGGATTACCAAGGGGATACTAGGATTCTTACCCCTAGAGCTCAACGGGATTAAGCTGGCTCCCACTCTGCTTCCCTCTCCTGCCTTGGGGCACTGCTGGAAAAGCAGAAGCTGGCAACGAAGCTTGGGACAATGGCAGCTTTGTCACCGCGGCGCCTGACCCAACCAGGGCAGGGGCAGCCTAGGACTTAGGCTGGGGGGCTGCTGCGCTCACAGACAAGGCGGCCACGAGCACGGGGAGCATGAAGCAGGAGGTAGCCGCCCACCTACCGTGTGTGTAGATGTTGCCCAGCTCGTTGTGCAGGTAGAAGAGGCTGCGCAGGCAGCCCGAGCCGCTGCTGGCCGGCCGGTAGCCCGTCAATACGAACTTATTGAACTGCAGGTGCGGTGGCGAGCTAGCCCAGTCCAGCAGACGCGGCCCGGACAGGAACGCCATGGCCTCACGCACTGCGGCCGGCCTGCGACCCTCTGTGCCCAGGCTTCCCCCTCAGTGGAGCCGCAGCGCTGAGAAGCTCATCCCGATCCACCTCCGGGCTGTCCGGTCGTCCTGCGTGGAGTCAGCCGGGGGTCCCGGCCCGCGTCCCTCACCCGCTGCGCACGCGCGAGCTCGACGCCCCCGTAAGGGAAAGGAAGCTGGCGACCCGGCTGCCGGAGCTCGGTGCGTCCAGTTCCACCGTGGCAGAGCACCGCAGGGAGAGATCCCGTTGGCCGCAGCGGCAGCCGGGCATCTAGCCGCAGCCCTGAGGACGGGCGCGGCCGGACGCTGGAGGGGACGCCAGGCTCCACCCCGGCTCCTCGCCCCCGCCACCCTGCCCATGTTTCGCGCGCTGGATTCCTGACGTCCACATTGCAAGGGCCAATGGGCGCTGCGGGCGGGGATGCTCCGCCCCGAGACCGCCCAGGCCTTCTCTTTTTAACATATGCGGTTCCAGCCTTCTTTGCATGGGGTGCCTGTTGGCTTGGGACGCGATGTTCTGGGTTGGGCTCCTCTACTGGAGTGGCCTGGCACCTGGCGTCTACCAACATTTCATACCCCAGCTTTCTTAGTGACCTCCAGGTTGCCGCATGTTTGGATACCCACCTCTGGTACACAGCCTGGCTACCCAGGCCTAAGCTCACAGTCAGACTCTGTCCAAGGTGCTGCTGGCTAAGGCCCCTTCAGATGAGTCCAGCGCAATGCTGGTGCGCACCCACTTTGAAGGTATACCTCCGTTGGCCGGGTACCCAAGCGTCTAAGATGTGTGACGCACCTAGAGCCCTTGGCGAGGCCCAGCCCTTCCGGCCAGGCTTCTTCGAGCTTGGGTTCCACCCAAATCGCTCCCTATTATCGCCCACAAGGCACACCCTCGGCCGGGCCCAGTACAGGCAAGGAACAGGCAAAGGCAGGAGGCCAGGGGAAAAAGGTCGGTTTTCTACTCTTGCAGGTACCAGAAAGGAGTTTCTTCCGCATTAAACTACCCACAATCAGCTTCCACTTCCTCTCTGACAAGAAAGCTCACCGTGTGAAACGCCCAGCATCTCACCTGCCCAACAACACCCTTATTAACATAGCTCCTCCCTCACACAAAGAACTTGCTGACGCCTTTACCAAAATAGGCCCTTTATTTTAAGTCTATGGTCAGTCTTTAGATCACTTTTGTTGACCCATAACCTTTCATTGAGGGCAGCAGTCCAGGACCACCCCCAAAGGAGGCGCAAAGAACCCTGAAACCAGACACCACCCCTCACATCAAGGTCCAAGGATTAGGGTGTTGGATTCCTTTTGCCCTTTGGCTTCAACCATTTGTACCCCAAGGGTCAGACCAAGTTTCCAAATAGCACTGGATGCTTCCTGTCCGATTTTCTGGTCTCCCTAAGATGACCAGAGACCGAGCTGCCTTTCAAGGGGCACAAGGAAGAGGTAGGGTGCTGCTTAATATCTCAGGTGTCCATCTCGCTGGCAGAAGTTGTGACGGACCCCCGGCGTCTGGGGTCAGAGGGCAGAGATGAGAGAGCGCAAGGAGCTCTGGCTGGAAGCACTCAGGGGCCGGTAGCCCGCGGCAGGACCCTCAGCCTGAGAGTCCCCTGGGGGACAGGGCAGGGCCACCCCTCGGGGTCGGCGGTACCACACAGCCCAGCTTCTCCCGGGGCCCCGGGAAGGTCCCAAGGCCAGAGACCCTTTTCCTGGAGCCAGCAGACAGCTCCTAGGGAGGGA